CTGAAATACATCTGTGCTGTTACTCCCTCCTTGTCTTTTGTTATTTGTTTCTTAAACTCCTCTCCCCTCTCTCCCCAACATAAACACACTCATACCCTTCCTCCACCTGGCAAAATTCCAACTCTAATGTTGCTTCTTGTCTTATACCTTCTGTTTCCTTTCCCTTCCTTATTGCTTCATAGCACCCATATCCATTCCATCAGTTGCAAAGCACGTGTCATGCTGCATGATGATCACTTGTCACTTGGCTGATATAATGGGACCATAGTGTAACTGACCAGAAAGACACACTGTAGGTGAAGAGTACAACTTGTGAAATGGAGGAGTCAGCAGCACTCCTAGTTAGAAGGCCAAGCTACCCTGGCCCAGTTTTCACTGATACCCTGACAGGGGCAAGGTTCCCATTCAGTGCCTGTGAAGCTCTCCTTCCCTTTTTCTCCTGATGCCCTTCCCTCCCAAATGTTCAGGAGGATCCTGAGTAACTGCTGATAACTCAACTCTTATTCCTCAGTGTGTCCTGTGAGAATCAGTCTTTTTCTTATGGTCACTCCCAGGCGTGCCATCTCCCAGCATAAAGTCTACTCCTGCAGCTTCTGTAAGTGGAATATTTATCATTTCTACTGAAACCAGAAGATTCCATGCAACTCTTAAGGCAAGATTATTTATCCATCCTACTGGGAAAAGACCATGAAGATAATATGTTCCAGAATACAACTCCCAAAACATCTCTCAAGAAATTGTTCTCAAAAGTTATAACTATGAAAACATTACTGGGGAAAAAAATGCTCTTTCATTTTCATAAACTGTCCTCAAAGTTTTTTTTATGAGAAATGTGCCCTTGGGAAGGACACAAGGAAATAAATCAATTAATGGAAAAGATCAAGACGAATTTGAGAACAGACTCTAGTTTTGAAAGCTTTTAAATGCATATATGAGTTAGGGTTGATAGGAAATCTTAGAATGTAGCTGCTATACGTGGCTTTGAATTTCTATAGTTGTACATGATCCTGATTTGGAGTGTGGTATGGTCAAGATAATATTTGCCCCAATAAAGGACTGTGGTGGAAGGCCTGCCTGTTTTAACATTCCTATTTCCTGAATGCCTATCAGAGCAGGAATCTGTGACAGAAAGCAGCACAACAGAGAGTGAATATCTGGATCCAACTAGTGAGCTTTTCCAGCTATATCTCTCCTTGCCTAAATTGTTACATTTGTAAAATGGAAACCATCACGGTTATATGCTGCGGTGGAATGCACACTATCCTGGAATTCATAAGGCTCAGGGTCTAGTTCCAGCTCTGCCACTGATTAGCCATGTTGCCCCTCTCAGCCTTACTTTACTCACCCATAAAATAAAGTCATCCAAAAGAAGTTAGAACCAGAAGGGACCTTGGAGATTAGGGTTTCTCAATTCTTAAAATGGGGTGCATATACCCACTCCCAAGGGGATTTCACAGAGTGACACTTTCTAAAATTTTTATTATGAAAATAGTAAGTTATGATAATTATACTTTTTCAAAACCCATCTTATTCCTCACCATTCTGATGTCTGTTTGCATTCTCAATCTAACTCAACCCCCATCTGCAGGCAGTTGAGAACCATTGAATTAGGCCAGCCACCATGGTGTGTGTTTTTGATCCTGTCATTACCTCTCATTCTTTCTTCACCTCCAGGTACCCTCAGGTTTATTGTTGTATTTTTTTTTTTCTTTTTTCTTTCTCACTGAATCTATGTTCAGTTCAGTCTTTATGGGACTGACTAAAGTTGTCCACTGTTTCATCCCATAAGCATTTGCTAATTTAACCTTCATAAAAATGAGCTTCATGTATCTAACTTTCTCCTCTTCTGCCCTTATCAAATTAAGTACAATCTCATTGTTCTGGCTTTCCTAAGATGATTACAGCTACCTTCCTAGCCCTACTTTAATCCTTATACATGTGTATCCTGGGCTGTAGCCTAGATTACTCAGTATCCCCTGGAGACAGCTCACCTGTCACCATCCAGAGCCCCTCCCTCCTCCTTCAGTGGTTAAAGCTCTCCCCATTTTCCAAGACTCATCTCAGCCACTTTCCCTGAACTCTCAAACAAATATGCTACTTCCTTCCTTTGAATGTCCCTGGGATTTTGCTTGTACTTAGCAGTGTACTTCTCATACTTCAAAATAGAAGGTTCTCAAAGATGGCAGTTCAGTGTCTTCTACAACTGCATATGACCGGAAGATCCTAATCACAACGATGTTTTCGAATTTTGACCATGATCTACACCAAGACATATATTTACATTGTGGTTCAATTTATACCCATGAGTATAGGTATAAATTGAAACAAAGCTCTTATAACATAATACATATTCTTACTACATGTGATGCACTCTGGTGTTTTCTTTTCTGTTTTATTCCTTTTCTTTTCATGCTGGTCTAAATTGATTTCACAACCATTAGTCACAGTTATAAACAATATGATATAGCACATTGCACATAGTGGGAATACTGTTGTATATGTTTAATGAAATTGAGCTTTTGCCAAAATCCTTATAAAAATGTTACTGATTTGTGAAGGTATTCAATTAATCTACTTTAAATGCTTATTTATATTTCGATTTCACCAAAAAATCTTTTATATTCTCAAAGTGATGCTGTTTTATTTTTAATTTTGCATGAAAAAAAATGATCTGAGAAGCAAATATAGATTATTTTTATCCATTTTTAAAGTAAGAAGGAGAAATTTAGTTGTACAACAATTATCACTATAATGACAGTGTATTTGGCATATGATAAAATCACTATTTATTGAATGCTGAGTATGTGCCACACATTGTGCTGGCTGCTTCGTATACGTTTCCTCTAACCCTGTGACATTCCTCCAGGACAAGATATTATCTCCACTTTATCTATAAGAATGCCAAATCAAACAGTAGTATTTTACTTTATTCAGTGAAAATTCTTAGCACTAAACTAAAATCATGAATTCTGATTTGGTTTTATTTTCTTTCTTCCCACAAAGTTCCCTGTAATTTAGCAAGTGGTTTTTTTTTTTTTTCACAGTACGTTTTAACTGTGTTCTGTGCTTATAAAAAAATGTCAGACTGATGGTGTTGAGAATGAAAGTTGTACCAACTGATGAGTTAGTTTCTTGATGTTCATTTTACAAAGTTCATTAATTGAAAAATGTAACAGAAAATAATGCTTTACAGTTTATTTTATCCTATTTTTA